CATGAGAGGTTGAGCTTTATTAGCTCCACCTTGCGGAAATTCCCGATACTATTATTTTGCTTGTCGTATTATAGGAGAATTTACGGTAACTAGTGGTATTTACCGGTAACTCTCGGTATTTACTGGTAGCTTGCGGTAGACTGCGTACAGCGTACCGGAAAATAATGCGGTATCGCCCGCGCATTTTGAATGGTTGCATCTGTACCTTAATTCCATGCAGGATTTCATTCAGCAACTTCACCCGCTGATCCTTGGTTTTCATTTGGGTTTTCTGCCGTTGGGAAAAGAGATAAAAGTTAAGAAAACACAGGTAAAAACTGCATACAGTAGGATACACAATAATTCATGTAACATTTTATATTTTGGGGGATATACAACACAATAGCAATTATAACAATATGGAAAAGAATAAAACAAGAATCTATGTATTTAGTTATTTAGCCAATGTTTCTTGTTTAGATAAGAGAAAAAAATGGTCCAGTTGCTTTTACAACATGCCCAAAGTTTAAATATCAAATAATTGATCTTTTGTCTGGGATGTGTCAAATACCCACAACTCTGTGTACAAAGGTGCTTCCTATTCTGTGTTATAAATAAATTTATTTTAGTTTTTCCTCTTTTCAAAGATGCCCTCTTTCTCAGAGTGTAAAAGTGTCCCCTGGAATAATCCTAAATTAAGAGTTTGTATAGTTTGATCAAATTTTCTCTCTTTCTAATTTCCCTAGTATGAAGAGATTTTACTCCTCTAACCACAATGAGTTAATGGACAGAAGAATCTAGATAAATACATAGATCCTTTCATGTGTACCTACCCACAACTCTGACTCAAATCTTGGATGTATAAAGACAATTTTTCATGATCTCTGCCAAAGTGGATCACATAACACGTAACGTTATTAAATTTCAATTTCACTGAATGATCTTGTCCGAGTCTTGTAATTCCTATGCCACTGTTTTTGTTTTCCACTCTCCCTTTTTTGCATTGTATTTAACTTTAACTTTAATATTAGAATCTAAACCTAAAAATAACTCTCACAGCACACAATTTAAAATTCAGAGATTAGAGATCTAAATCCCCAAACGATTTTCAGTTCCTCTTCTCACGCTTAAAAACTCTTCAGCCCTCTATTACACTGAAAGAGCTGGAACAGACAAATTCCTAAATTCTCAGTTTCTCTTGTGGAGAATACAGAAATACAGAAAGTGGAATACTGGTGTGTATTTTTTTTTAAATATGAATACCAGCCTTATGCAGTTTACATAATATGTTTATGTTCCTAAATTAATATCCTTTATGGCTTTCAGATGCCTTATACTCCTCTTCTTTTTATGCTCAGCTACTAAAATTTCCCTTTAGCTGTAAAATTCCATATAAATATTCAATATTAAGTGGATTAAAACATGCACAATAAAGAGATTAAATGATTAAATCATTTCACTAACAACCAATGCACCACGAGTGCCCCTGTCTGTCATTTTGGCCAGCCAAATCACGTACTACGGTACAATGTGGTAAATTTGTGGGGGTAATTTTTCATGGTACGGGGTTGTACCGTGCATTTTGAATGGCTGTATCTGTATTGACCGTGCTTTGTTCACACTGGCTGGTGTGTTATTTCTGCTTGTCTTTTTCAGGAGTCTGTGGCCTATGTGTCTCAGCAGGCCTGGATTCAGAATGCAACTCTGCAAGACAACATTCTGTTTGGCTGTGAAATGAACAGGGTCCATTATGAGTTGGTGTTGGAGGCATGTTGCCTGTTTGCTGACATGGAGCAGCTCCCTGATGGGGACCAAACGGAAATTGGAGAACGTGTAAGTAAGCAGCAGTGTTGGACAGCTTCTGAAATTGAATTGAAATCTCCTAATGGTAGGTCCTTGAAAGTTGTGTTAATTTATTCACCATTTTTTAAAAACTTTTAGTCATAGTCTTAGTCAAGTCAACTTAAATATCTATTACTCATAGTCACTTTCTAGTCACCCACTTTTAATTTAGTCTAGTCGACTATATTTTGACTATAATTACTTACTTGGTTGACTAAACAGAATTAGTCATTTTATTCAAGTAGTTGATTTTAATTGTATAATAAAAATAATAAAAGTATAATTAAATGTATTTCTAAAAACATTAACATGTGGTAATATTCTGTTAAAAAGTCTGTTGCACAATCTAAGGTGTATTAATCCCCAGAAAGATCAAATATCTATGGAAGCCCGTTTCCGCCAGGGAGGAAAAAAAAAATGCGCTATGCTATCTCAGAATTCCGACTTAGTATCTCAGAATTGCG